ATTTATTCCATTTTCTGTTTACATTGTTGAGGTACATTACAATGCTCACACATACCATCATGGTGTTTATACAGTATGCATTTAGTGTAATAACAGGAAGGTGAATGTTGTATGCATTCAGCTTTCAAAATACTGGAACAATATATTTTACATATATATGTATACACAGTGGGGCAAAAAAGTATTTAGTCAGCCACCAATTGTGCAAGTTCTCCCACTTAAAAAGATGAGAGAGGCCTGTAATTGGCATCATAGGTAGACCTCAACTATGAGATTTGGAAATAATTTATTTGCACATTATGGTGGAAAATAAGTATTTAGTCACCTACAAACAAGCAAGATTTCTGGCTCTCACAGACCTGTACCTTTTTCTTTAAGAGGCTCCTCTGTCCTGCACTCATTACCTGTATCAATGGCCCCTGCTTGAACTTGTTATCAGTATAAAAGACACCTGTCCACAACCTCAAACAGTCACACTCCAAACTCCACTATGGTGAAGACCAAATAGCTGTCGAAGGACACCAGAAACAAAATTGTAGACCTGCACCAGGCTGGGAAGACTGAATCTGCAACAGGCAAGCAGCTTGGTGTGAACAAATCAACTGTGGGAGCAATAATTAGAAAATAGAAGACATACAAGATACAACTGATAATCTCCCTCGATCTGGGGCTCCACGCAAGATCTCACCCCGTGGGGTCAAAATGATCACAAGAACGGTGAGCAAAAATCCCAGGACCACACGGGGGGACCTAGTGAATGACCTGCAGAGAGCTGGGACCAACGTAACAAAGGCTACCATCAGTAACACACTACGCCGCCAGGGACGCAGATCCTGCAGTGCCAGACGTGTCCCCCTGCTTAAGCCAGTACATGTCCGGGCCGTCTGAAGTTTGCTAGAGAGCATTTGGATGATCCAGAAGAGGATTGGGAGAATGTCATATGGTCAGATGAAACCAAAATAGAACTGTTTGGTAGAAACACAACTCGTCGTGTTTGGAGGAGAGAGAATGCTGAGTTGCATCCAAAGAACACCATACCTACTGTGAAGCATGGGGGTGGCAACATCATGCTTTGGGGCTGTTTCTCCGCAAAGGGACCAGGACGACTGATCCATGTACAGGACAGAATGAATGGGGCCATGTATCGTGAGATTTTGAGTGCAAACCTCCTTCCATCAGCAAGGGCATTGAAGATGAAATGTGGCTGGCTCTTCCAACATGACAATGATCCCAAACTTACCGCCCGGGCAACAAAGGAGTGGCTTCGTAAGAAGCATTTCAAGGTCCTGGAGGGGCCTAGCCAGTCTCCAGATCTCAACCCCATAGAAAACCTTTGGAGGGAGTTGAAAGTCCATGTTGCTCAGCGACAGCCCCAAAACATCACTGCTCTAGAGGAGATCTGCATGGAGGAATGGGCCAACATACCAGCAACAGGGTGTGCCAACCTTGTGAAGACTTACAGGAAACGTTTGACCTCTGTCATTGCCAACAAAGGATATATAACAAAGTATTGAGATGAACTTTTGATATTGACCAAATACTTATTTCCACCATAATTTGCAAATAAATTCTTTCCAAATCAGCCAATGTGATTGTCTGGATTTTTTTTCTTATTTTGTCTCTCATAGTTGAGGTCTACCTATGGTGCCAATTACAGGCCTCTCTCATCTTTTTAAGTGGGAGAACTTGAACAATTGGTGACTCACTAAATACTTTTTTGCCCCACTGTATATATACATACACACACTATATTGCGATTTGGATTTAGGTTGTTCCAATCACCACCTACCACAAGTGTATAAAATCGAGCACATAGGCATTCAGACTGCTTCTACAAACATTTGTGAAAGAAGGGGTCACTCTCAGGAGCTCAGTGAATTCAAGCATGGTACCATGATAGGTTGCCACCTGTGCAATAAGTCCATCCATGAAATTTCCTTGTTACTAAATATTTCACGGTCAACCGTTAGTGGTATTATAACAAAGTGGAAGCAACTTGGAACAACAGAAACTCAGCCACAAAGTGGTAGGCCACATAAAATAATGGAGCGGGTCAGCACATGCTGAAGCGCATAGTGCGCAGAAGTCACCATCTGTCTGCAGAGTCAATAGCTAGCTCCAAACTTCATGTGGCCTTCAGATTAGCACAACAACAGTGCGTAGACAGCTTCATGGAATAGGTTTCTGTGGCCAATCAGCTGCATCCAAGCCTTACATCAACAACTTCAATGCAAAGGGTCAGATGGAGTGGTGTAAAGTACGCCACCACTGGACTCTAGTGCAGTGGAGATATGTTCTATGGAGTGACAAATCACTTTTCTCTGTCTGGCAATCTGATGGATCTGTCTGGGTTTTGGCAGTTGCCAGGAGAACAATACTTGCCTGACTGCATTGTGCCAAGTGTAAAGTTTGGTGGAGGGGGGATTATGCTGTGTGGTTGTTTTTCAGGGGTTGGGCTTGGCACCTTAGTTCAAGTGAATGGAACTCTTAAGGCATCAGCCTACCAAGACATTTTGGACAATTCTATGCTCCCAACTTTGTGGGAACAGTCTGGGGATGGCCCCTTCTTTTTTTTCCAACATGACTGTGCACCAGTGCACAAAGTATGGTCCATAAAGACATGGATGAGTAAGTTTGGGGTGGAGGAACTTGACTGGACTGTACAGAGTCCTAACCTCAACCCCATAGAATACTTTTGGGATGCATTAGAGCGGAGACACTCGAGCCAGGCCTTCTCATCTGCCATCAGTGCCTGATCTCACAAATGCGCTTCTGGAAGAATGGTCAAACATTCCCATAGACACACTCCTAAACCTTGTGGACAGCCTTCCCAGAAGAGTTGAAGCTGTTATAGCTTCAAAGGGTGGGCCAACTCAATATTGAGCCCTACGAACTAAGACTGGGATGCCATTAAATTTCATGTGCATAAAGGCAGACGTCCCAATACTTTTAGCAATATAGTGTGTGTATGTATATATATATTATTATTATTATACAGGATTTATATTGCACCAACAGTTGGCTCAGCGCTTTACAATATAAAGGGAGACAATACAGCAACGATACAGTCCAATACAAGAGATTCCTTCCAGGAATATCAAAGCCACTCAACAACTATATTTTGTAGTCCTGTACTCAAAAAAATTCACAGTTACAGAGTCTTGTCGTGTCACATATCCCTCCCCCTTGTTTCGACCCAGTAGGAGGTGGAACACAGTAGCCCGAATTCTTGATTGGGTCACCTCTGCGTGAGCTGTCAGCCAGGTAGGCCCATTCTTTCTTCTGGGTGCACCCCCTAGATTGAATCTCAGCAGTGTCTACTTTTTACTATACTCAGCCCTGCCATGGGGTTCCAGGGGTTAACAGTCTTTTTGCGAGGTCTTCTGCCTTTCCTAACACTTATTCCCAACTCCCTGTCCTGATGGTGTAGGCATCCCTCCTGTCACAATATATATATTCAAAATGGAGAGTATGTTTCCAAAGATTTGAATAGTTTTTTTTTCATTAATGTATATTTAAAAACAGCACTACCACTCCCTCTACCTATAATCACAATCAAATACTGATATATCATTATCATACAGTACACCCCAGCTCGAATTCTAGAAACATAGTATGATTTTTCACTTAAGGAAAAAAAACAAAATTCCATGAAAAGTGTTCCAACATGAATTATTCCAAGTGCATGCAGTATTAAATCTGCACCGATTTCTCCAATACTAAAAATAGATCAAATCACTTTTTTTGCTAAAAGGTTATTTATGGAAAAAAATTGTTGATTTAGTAACATACCAGATTATACTTAAAACAATAACAAAATCTAATGTACTTTTAGTAAAGTAATCCTTTAAACGACCCCCTTTCCCCTCCAAAGTCTCAAACTCATCTGTCCATGCCATATCTATGTGTGCCAACTGGGCCAGGCAGCTTCTCCATGTGTGCAGATAATCCGTGTTCGCGGCAATGAAGATGCTGTCTATTTTAAGTACCAACAGTGAATATAGATGTTTATTTACATGTGTAGAATAATCTGCTTACTAGGGATACTTTATGGTGGCAGTTGTGTAGCTCCTGGGGCAACTTAAGACATGGCAGAACTGCAACCAAGTCAGTATAGTGTGTAGGGCTTTGAGGAAGCTTTTTGGGGAGGGGGGGAGGGATAAGTGCACTAAAATTACAGTTACACTTTAAACTGAACCTGTGTTCAGACTGCACACATTCAAATAATTACATATCCCTAAGAAATACTGAAACACTTTAAGACAATCCTCAATTCTCCTCTGCAGTTATAGGCATTGTGCAAAAATTCATCTTTAAAACTCACATCAGAGGAGCTGAAACCACATTTCATTAGCACTTTACCTTCTGTAGAGAGCAACATCTCAACAACCTACCAGCTCTCTAAACACACAGTAGTTATTTGTAAGCTGCTAGAAGACTACTGAAACTGGACTTTAGATTATTTGCTGTGGTCATCTTTAAGAATAAATTACTTCACAGTACAAGCAGCTAGTGAGATCAGTGAGATCTTGTTTAAAGCTTTTTGCTGCTTATTATAAGTATGCAAACCATTTATGACCATAGTGTGGCACAGGTGCACTTTAAATATGATGTGTTACACAAATGGAAATAGAACATAACAGCTTTTTACATCAAGTATAATTGGAAGACCCAGCATATCTAAATCAGAGTTTAGTTTAGTAGATTCTGGAGTGTTGTGTCAATGATCACAGCACATGACATCTCATGTTTATCTGCCATGAATGTTACCACATAGTCTCACTCTCCCTGTCATATTAGTCATTTTTTTTTTTTTAACACAAGAACAGTGACAAAAATTGTGGTCGAGATTTTTCAGCTGTGGCTTCAAAGATGTGTAGAAGGGCTAGCTTATTGTATCTAATCAATTAATAACAACAATATTTCATTTTCTCTGTTTACATCATGTTTAGAGCATTGTCTTAATATTATATATAGTAGAGTTACTATCGTAAATGTACCTGCCAGTTTATATTGCTTGATGACAATGAAAGTTTTAATTTTTCAGAAGGATCCGGAATTGCAACATGAATCAGTATCTTCACATATCTGTAAATATTCAGAACATTGCAAAAGTAGTTAAAAGATTCCTACATAATAAAGGTACTACTGATAATTTCAGTTTTGTGTCTTTGTTAGAAGTGCAAAATTGCCCTTGGAATTAATTCAAGGATTCTATAAGACGTGTGGAAGCCCTTTGAGAGGGAGGTTGACAGGCGGCTGAGGGGCATATGTTCAAAAGGCCAAACCACCACACATCAGAAGCACTATTATCTTGAATGGGTAATTTTTAGAGATGGTACTGCCCACCAAATGTGACAGGCGGTTTAAAATTTGCCAAGGCATGTGTACAGTCTCAAACAACTGCATGTCATTGTTTAGGTGGGGAGTCAGAGAGGAGCCTCAAAACCATGGCTCAACCACCTGCTTTTATCACCCACTGGGCACCTGTGTGGATGAGCCCTAAAAGAAAAAATCTAGACCCAATGATCACTTTTTTTACAACTTAGATATACTTGCAAATCACCCTTGCATGTAAACTTGTAGTCAGGCTATTGTACCAAATTCAACTCTGCACGTAAAATCTGACATTAATCTGTTTGTTGTAGGGCCAATATTTCAGTTTTTCACACACATGGAACATGCACATTATTCCCTTTAAAAATTTACAGAAGTTCACCAAACATAGATATTATTTGATAAAGGAGGATCTATAGAATAAAGGATGGTTGCCTTTTTGTGTTGCGTGATATTTGTGCAAATTAATATTTCGCAGAAAAAACTGTCAAACCTTTAAATAATCTATTAGATATAACATATGAAACGGTATCAAGTTATTAAATGTCAAATATACCATGCCCCCCCAAAAAAACATAAATAAAATATCAAATAAACCATGCCCAAAATTGTAAATAGGTAGTGCATTAAAAAACTATTCATCCAGAGTTAAACCTAAATTATGGCCCTGAAATGTATCTACCTCTACCATGTGTACTATGCATACTAAACGTATGTGTGACCAAATGCATAGCAGTTTGGCAAACTTGCCACGAACCGAACTCAGGTAAATATGCCTCATCACTACCAATTATAGAAGCTCAAGTTTTCTCTTCAATATTCTTATAGGACTGAGAAGTGTACTGTAGCCTCCCTAGCAGTCTGCTTATGTCCATATTTCTGTGCTCAAAGCGGTACATTTTTTTGCATGGAAATATGTATTTTTTTTTTGTAGGCCTGTAATTTTTAGGAATAGCTCACTGAAATCTGTCCGAGTCTAGTAAACATCCCAGGTATGTTAAAATTTGAAACACAAAATCATAAATTATAATTGAATATATAATCATAAAAAATAATAATATAATAATAATAAATTTAATTCAATAATATAATCAAACCAAAATCAAAAGCAAAATCGTTTTCAGTGTCTGATGATGAATTTTCCCCACAAATCATCATCACTCAATTCTGCAAGTGGTTCTGATTTACTATCGCTGTTCTCTAGCTGGTCTAAAACCACTTTTGACCTAAAGGGACGCTTTTTGGACGCCATGGACGTTTCTCAGTTTCAAGGCAGAAAGAACAGTAAAAATGCAGGCATGGCACAGGACAAAGCACTAGGAACAAAATGTATGTGAAATGGTTTGATACAGTAATGTTTTACTATGTGATTTTAGTGAATTTAGTGAATGTCACTTTTACAATTTTCAAATTTCCCGCCAGTTCCGTCCCCCGTACGTCCTGACATCACAGGGAAGGGAACCCGGAAGACAGATGCCGGCATCAGCCAGAGGGCATTGCAGGGGACACTGCAGGAGGGACATCGCGGGAGCGCAGGACAAGGTAAGTGACCGAGGGATCCCGCAGCAACGCTGCAAGGTATTCCCAAGTGTAGCTCGGGGTTACCGCTTGTGGTACTGAAACTTTACCCTAAGTTACACTCGGGAATACCTCCAGGGAGGTTAAAGATTCATGGAAATGCATACTAAGAACATTTTTTCGTAAATGGCATAATTTCCATAGACACAATGATGGACTGCAGGCCACAAGTTTTTTTTGTAGCACAGGATAAAATATACAAAAGCATATTAAAACATCCATATACAGTATTTGTTTACTTCTTAGCAGCATTTAGATACTAAAAATGAGGAGAAAAGGAAAAACTATTTTATATAAATAAACTAATAGGTATCCCATTTAGGGTTTGGATCTATTTTAACAATTCTGGAAAGTCTCTTGGTGTGGCTTTGTGGTAAAAACAAACATGTAAAGTGTTACTAAAGGCAAAACATTTTTTTTCCCATTTGTTTTGGATAGGGTGGAGAGAGATTAAAACTCTTGCCTGTGACCCCTGATAAAGAGATTCACTCTCTCTATATGTCCTGTTTGCCATTATCATTGAAAGTGAACATAAAAGAAAATCCCAAATTTGGGTTGTCACCAGAACAATAATAGAGGGAACGTCTTCAAAAGGGGACACTAGTTCTGGTGACGCTCCAAGATTCCCTTACTTATGAGGAATTTCCTCTCACTTCCTGTTTTGGCTATGGGACAAGAAGTGAAGGAAAATCTCCCCACTGGGACACAAATGGCAAAAAAAAAAATGACAGGGGTTATAACCCCCCTTATTTTATCCAGAATGAAAAAAAATAGTTTGCCTTTAGAGACACTTTAATCAGTAATTCCCTTTTGAGAACATGTTAAAAATAATTACTTTTCCATTGGGATTACTATACTTTTTGTTTTCATTTGAGTTACCAAATAGTAAAATGTATAAAGTCCACATAGCAAGATTGTATCTAAAATGAGCTATTAAAGGAAATATTGCATTGCATTTAGGAAAACTATGAGAAAAATACAAACCTTATAAACAGATATATTAGAAGAAAAACGATTACCACTGATGTGCAGGCAATAATCAAAATTGTGATCCATATTGGAAAGATTACTTTGTCTAAAAGGCAAGAAGATTTTTTTAGCAAATATGTATTAATACAGAAAAATGAATAACGCTAACATCTGTCTGTATATGATGTATTTATACCTCCATCTGTCCCGTGCTTTTCATTAAATTTTTATTCTGATTTTATTTGTGAGCTCAAATGTGTGTTAATGCTAAGTTGTAAGGCATGCCTTAGAAAAACAAAGATGCAGTAACGGTGCTGTCATTTTCATCTTAGTGCTTGGGTCTTTGAACATGCAAGTGAATGGCAGAACACTGACTTCTGATTTAAACATTTTGATTGTAAAATGATGGTAGCTAGTCACAAGAGAAGACCATGGTGTGATTAGTGACCTTTTTCTGAAAATGCTCTCTTGTTTCAAAGAATTCAGAGTGAATCTGCATATCTGTGCGTAAGTCTGTATGTTCACATGGGCGTACACATTTTACCAATCTTTTTACACATGTTTTTCTTCTATCAGTTTTTTGACTGCATCTGACATACTGAACATGCATACATATATACTCAGATGCAGATTTTTGGATTTGGTGTTATGGATCTGAATGTAATGCATGTACACACAGCTGTGTTAATGTCTCCATAGAAAACAATGCAATTGTGCACAGAAAAATAAATAAAAAGACTTTTAAATGCAATTTTTACTGCCATGTGAATGAAGCCTTAAATGTTCTGAAGTACTGTCACCAAGACAGTGAAGCAACATGCATTTTTAGAAAGAGGTCACCAATGACAGACAACATATTTCTCTTTTGACAGATGTATTAGGATACATACATCTAACCATAAAGTATGCGATCAAAGGGTACAGGTTTGTTATAGCTGATAACATTAAATTCTATATTTCAGGTAGAGAACTTGGTCTAGGTAATAATACATTTTAATGTAAGTGAGGGCTGGAATGGATTTATACTACCCAATCCACAGACCGCGGCATATTCACAATTAATTGTTTACTACTGGTAATTTAATTTTGAAGTTATTACTGTACTCCTTGTATTGATTTTTATTTCAATAATTTTTATTGAAAGATTTTCAATACCAGAACAAGGTAATAGTGTTTGATTCAGTAGAGAGTATATTCATACAATATAGTATTAATAAGCATTTACCCCACCATTTGGCTGGGGTTAAATTTGGGTTTTAAGGCATTAGCATCAGAGGTAGACTTGGGTATATACTGAGCCTTGGTGAGGTGTATGAAATTGCAAAGGGGTATTGAGCAAGGGGGATAAGGAGGAGGGTAGGGAGGGGGGGGGTCTAAATGTAATGGGGTGGAAAGGGAGTACCAGTCTAGAATGGGTGAGTAATTCAATTGTTTGTAATATATCAGAATTGTACTGAGCAGTTAGGGGTTTGTAACCAGCTAGTCCGGGGTGTCGGCAACCCGCGGCTCCAGAGCCGCATGCGGCTCTTTTTCATCTTTGCTGCGGCTCCGGAGCACACTGCCCACCAGGTGGTCGGCAAGTCGCAGATCGCGAGCCACATGCGGCTCTTCTGTGTGCCGGGCGCCCGCTCCCCTCCCTCCTCAAAAATCCGGCCCGCGGAGCGTGGAACATTGGCTGTCAGGATGTAGGTGGGGCAGCCAGGATGTAGGCGGGGCAGAGTGACGAACTCCTCTCTCAGTCCGCCCTGAAGACCAGAAGGGAACACAGCGAGAGGAACGCGCGGAGCAAAGGTAAGTGAATTGAGACAATATGGGGGATGAATTACTATGTGGGGGATGAATTACTGTGTGGGGGATGAATTACTATGTGGGGGGGATGAATTACTATGTGGGGGATGAATTACTATGGGGGATGAATTACTATGGGGAATGAATTACTATGTGGGGGATGAATTACTATGGGGGAAGAATTACTATATGGGGGATGAATTACTATGGGGGAAGAATTACTATATGGGGGATGAATTACTATGGGGGAAGAATTACTATATGGGGGATGAATTACTATATGGGGGATGAATTACTATATGGGGGATGAATTACTATGGGGGATGAATTACTATGTGGGGGATGAATTACTATGGGGGATGAATTACTATATGGGGGGATGAATTACTATATGGGGGATGAATTACTATGGGGGATGAATTATATATGGGGGATGAATTACTATGGGGGAAGAATTACTATATGGGGGATGAATTACTATATGGGGGATGAATTACTATGGGGAAGAATTACTATATGGGGGATGAATTACTATGGGGGATGAATTACTATGTGGGGGATGAATTACTATGGGGGATGAATTACTATATGGGGGATGAATTACTATATGGGGGATGAATTACTATGGGGGATGAATTACTATATGGGGGATGAATTACTATGGGGGATGAATTACTATATGGGGGAGTATTTTCAGTTTTAAAAATGTGGCTGTCAAAATAAATTTCAATCGTGGTTTTGGCGAGATTTGGCTCAGTTGAAAAAAAAAGGTTGCCCACCACTGACCTAAGGCTATGATTGTTATTATGAAGATACACTGTGGTCCTGATTAACCCTTTGCTTACTGGGCCCTTAAACCCCCTTCATGACCAGAGTGCTTTTTGCAATATATGCAGTGTCGGATTTGTTATAAATGTTGCAATGGTTTTGCGGCTCCCAGTCTTTTTTTTTCCCTTCGGAAACGGGTCCAAGTGGCTCTTTATGTCTTAAAGGTTGCAGACCCCCTGAGCTAGTCCATTGGGATTTAAATTTGTGTTAGGTGGAGTTGTTAAAAGCCGATCTTTTTTCCATTTCACATTGGAAATTAAGATCTGTGATTAGTGTCTTGAGGGAAGGAGCAGTGGTGGTGTTCCATAATTGGGTTATATTGATTTTTGCTGTGAAAAGTGTATGGACAATGGTAGTACAAGAGTTATAGAGGAATTGTTCAATCCCAATGTGTAAAAGCACAAGTGAAGGATTTGGGGTTATCACTGTTTTGGATATTTCAGAGATTAATTGGAAGACACAGTGTTGAGCCTATGTCTCCGCATTGTCGCCAGCAAGAGGAGGAGTGTTTTGGGTAATAAAGGGCTAGTTTGACAGGGGTTAGGTACCATTGGTGGAGGATTTTTAAATATGATTCCAAGTGCGAGCTGCAACGGGGGGATTTGTAAGTAGTGTTAAATGTTTTGTTTCATGTCTGTGCTGTAATTGTTTATGAAAGGATTTTTTCCCAATTGGATAGGGAGGTAGATTTTAGAGCGAATTGCAGGTTCGTTATGTACTTGTAGAAAGTGGAGATGCCTTTACCTAGATATTGTGGTTTGGTAAAGAAAAGATAGGCGGTATTTGGGATCTTGGTATGAGGTATATTTTTTGTTTGCATACAGTGGGCGATTCTTAAGTGGGTGAAATATTCAGTGGTAGGGAGATTGAATTTGGTTTAGAGATTCTGAAATGAGTGTAGGGTGTGGTCTTTATAGAGGTCTGTTATATTATGTATGTTTTGTTTTTCCCATTGAGATAGGTCCAGAGAGGGTGTAATGGAATGTAGTATGTCAATTGGGGTAAGGATGTGTTTGGGATCTGTGTATTCCATGGTCAGAAGTTCGCAGCAGGCTTGAAGAGCGGCTTGGATACATGGGTGTTTTAGTTGGTAGTTTTTTTGTGGCATTGATGGAATTAGAAGTAAATTTGGGGGTTTAAGTGGAAGAAACGGCAAGGTTTCCATTGTAGACCAGATTTTTTTTTCTCTGGTTGGGTTCCACCAAAAATATATTTGGTCAAGAAGAGTAGCATTATAGTAGGATTTTAGATGTGGGAGACCTGCGCCTCCTTTGGAAGATGGTCGTATTAAGAGATTGGTGGTGCATCTAGGTTTTTCAGGAGTTCCATAAGAATCTGGCGAAAATCGATTGTAATTTGGTGAAAAAGGTGTTAGGGACTGGTATGGGAAGTGTGCGAAAAATGTATAGAATTTTTGGTAGGATGTACATTTTCAATGTCGCAACTCGGCCTACTTTTGGAGAGTTCTGAGGTGCGAAGGGTGGCAATTTCTTGGGGCATAGTTTTGAGTAGTGTTTTGTGATTTGAGGTGAATAGTTGGTCTGTTTGCGGTGAGTTTGATTCCTAAATAGGGGATGTTGTTTTTTTCCCAGGAGAAGGGGAATTGTTTGGCAAGTAATATCTGGGTTTGGTGTGGTGTATGGAGATTTAGGATTGAAGATTTGGGTTCATTAAGTTTATAATAAGAGACCGTTGAGTATTGTTGAAGGTGAGTGCGTATCGTTTTGAGGGATCTGGTTGGGTTGGTAACCATCAATATGATGTCGTCTGCAAATACACTAATTTTGTGTTCAGTGTTAACGTGTTTGATGCCAGTGAACGTCGGGTCGTCTCAAAGTTTAGAAGCTAAGGGTTCAATGAGCAATGCAAATATGATGGGAGATAGTGGGCAGCCTTGTCTAGTACCATTGGTGATATTGAAAGGGTCTGATAGTATTTCATCTGTTAGTACTCTGGCTGAGGGGAGGGATTATAGTGATAAGATGGCTGTTAACATCCATCCTGTAATACCAAATTTCTGTAGGGTCAATCGCATAAATAGCCAATGTATTCGGTCAAATGCTTTTTCTGCATCTAAGGATAAGAGTAATGAGGGTTGCTTGGTGTGTTCTAAGTGGTGAAGAAGAGATATAAGTCTTCTGGTAGCATTGGGTGCTTGGCGGCCTGGTATGAATCCTACTTGGTCTGGGTGTATCAAGGTAGGAAGATAGGGGAGTAGTCTGCGAGCTATAATTTTTGCATAGAGTTTTATGTCTGTATTGAGTAGGGAAATTAGTCTATAATTCTGGACAAGTTGTGGCTCTTTGCCAGGTTTTGGTATTGTCCTTATTATCGACTTTAGCATGTCTTTGGGGAATATACCAGTGGTGGCGGCATGATTAAAGATTTTGGTCAAGTATGGTGATAGGTTAGGGGCAAATTAGTTGTAAAATTTGTTCATGTATCCATTGTTTCCTGGAGATTTGTTAAGAGGGAGTCTTTTGATGGTTA